ACACGTCGTCCACGTGCTTGTGAATGGCGTCGAAGTGGGTCAACAAGTGGTCGTACGCTTCGCCCCAATCGCTGGTAATGATGTCGCAGAAGAGGCAGACGTAGTGCACGACAGGGTGGACGTCATCGTCGGAGTCGGGGTCAGCCCTCTCGATGGTTGTGGTCTTGCGTTGCGGTGGCGGCCCATCAGTCGTGTCGTTGTCATCGCTGTCCGACGACTGATAAGTCTTCACGGAGTCGGATGACGAGCGGTTCCGGTGGTCGGCACTCTTTGTGGCGTAAAACTTGTTAACAGTTATCGGTTTGAATGAAACCGATTTGCGCTTAACGGGCGGCGCCGTGTCGTACGACTTCTGGCGCTGAGGCACCGGTGACTTAGGTCGCGGCGGCTGAGATGTGGACAGTTTCTGGCGCTTAGGCTCCGGTGACCTCACGCCACGAGCTGCCGGTGCGGTCGCTCTACTAGTGAACGGGCGGTTCAGTTCACTGTCGGAATCGCTGTCCGATAGGGGTATAAGTCCTTTGGGCGTAAACTTACGCTTCTTGTCACTACTCGACGTCTTCATCGTAGGAACTGTTGAGGGTTTGGACACCGACTGAGCTGTCGATGGTTTGGGCGTCGAATCGGATTTGGGTTTCATTGGGGGCTTGAGTTTGGACTCAGTTTTGAGTGCTTCCGGTACGAGAAGCATAAGACACATGTTTCGAGGGGTGTCCACCTTTTTGGAGCATGTTTTCTGGTGAGCCCTCACCTCCACATCCCTATAGGCGACAAATTTGCGACAAAAGCCGCAGAAGAAGGCGTTCCCCTTATCGGCCTTTCCCTTGAGCTGCGGGTGAAACATCGCCAGATGGGCGCCGCCGCCCCCGTTCTGCACCACCCGTACGTTCCCATCGCACAGACGGCACACCAGTGGCTTCGACGGCCGGTTCTCGCGTCCAATCGGTTTGGGAATCGTTTTCTTGGCCACCGGACCCCTATCCGACGTGTCGGTGCTATTACTACCTTTCCGGTCGGCCACTTTCGAGGCCCTGTCCTCGTCCTCGTCGGACGACTCGTACTGTTTAACGGGTCGGGCCTTGAGTTCCAGTCGGCGCTCCATTTCGGCCTTTTGCTGCAAAAACGCCGGCGTTTTCGACAGAGGCATCGATTTGCGCAACGGTTTGCCGATGGGTTGGGCGAATTTGGCCGCCCCGTGAGCTCCCCGGCCGATGTGGGTCGGCATGTCGTCCTTATTCAGGTGTCTACTACTCAAACCGGACATCTGTTTCTGTTGCGACGTCTGCACATTGGATGTGTAGGTCTTCTTCTTGAATGTGTTGGCGTCGATGTAGTCGTCGAGTTGGCCGCCGTTCGCGGGCTCCCGGCGCTCAGCGGCGCCGTTCGCTTTGTCTGTTGAGGTAACTCTGTTTACTTGGGTTTCAGTTGTTTTGAAAATGTCTGCGAAATGGCAAACATACTGTCAGACCCTTTAAATAACAGACAATGCATGCTATAAATCAGTGGCCAATACGTACCGAACTCAGACCAGTCCCAGTGAGCACCGGTAGGTGAGGGTTCTTCAGTGGTCTGGGCGTCCTTTTTGGACGTATAGTACAGGATATGATAGTCGGGGTGTCGTTGGCAACAGTGTTCAATCACATTGCCTTTGGACTCGTGGGTGAACTCGCAGTACAGGCACTGGTAGTGGCCGTCGAGTGGGCTCTTGTGGTTGAGTCGATCCGTGCGGTGAGTATCGAAATGAC